CTCTCTCTCTCTCTCTCTCTCTCTCTCTCTCTCTCTCTCTCTCTCTCTCTCTCTCTCTCTCTCTCTCCCTCATACCTATACCTTTCTCTCATGTGAGACCATAACGAAACAACATTCGTTTCGCACAGGGCGCGGTTTTCTACTAGCAAAGTTAGAAACTTATCATTTGTTTCTTTACAATACATACTTGTTCACATAAAAAATGTCCTCATGTTGTTTTGCATGCTGCTTCGATCCCCATTCTGGTTTAGAGAAACATGGAACAATGTGAACCGTGTCTACGATAGTGTCAGTCGATATGACGCTACTGTGTTGATGTCCATTCAACTTCTCTCATTTCAATTTCTTGCAACCTGTTATGTGTTGCCTTCCACTGTCGACCTCCTTGTAGCATTGAACAAATCCGCACCTGTGTTCAACATTACCGCTGTCCGTGGATGTGTTCACGACAAAAAACATGGCCACAAATGCAAACCATGTGCATTCATTGCCTGCTCTAATTACCACATCACTATGCACTGCTCTCCCATGAAACTCTGGTGAAGCTCTTACAGTTGGAACAAGCGTGCCCCTGTTTGTTTCATCCTGTACGCAGGCGATGGCGATGTGTGTCCGTCTGTGTATGAGCAGTTGGTCAGAAGGAGGTTGACAACCATTCTCCACCATGTACGTCGTCAGCGCAACTCGAAAATTGAGTCTGCAAGGAAGCTCTTTGAGTATCTTACACGCAAGGTTTTCAATGCCTTCTTCCTCCTGCATGTACTCGTCATCGATGTCGAACCACCGCAGTTGCAGAGTTGCTATATCGCGTAGTTCCCGGGTGTTCATTCCGGTCGCCATATAGTCTGTCACGAACGACCACTTCTCAACCGTTTTCTTCCTTCGTTTCCTTACCATCTCTGTCTCTTCGCGCAATGCCAGTGACCGACGTATATGGTTCACCATCTGGGTTGAAGTTTTCCGCTTGTTTGATGACAGGTATGGTTGTTTGCAAAACTTTCTGTGGTAATGCTCTCAGACATCTCCCGCGAAGGTGCTGGGGATATCGGATCGCTCAATGCACGTTCTCAGATGCATGAGATCGTGCAATTTGGGGAGTTTCCATGTTGATGGTTGATATTTTCCTAGTTTTGCTTTAATGATCGTTATGAAGTCCGTGATCAAAACATCGCATTCATCGAGCGAAGCACGAGTGTGTGTTGTGCACCGAAACACACGTATGTACATTTCCATTAGTTTCACAAAACAAATAATAATGCCCTTGCCTGTTGAGCGTGGGATAATATTAAAAAATAAGGAACACGCACACTGTCATCAAAGACCGGTTTTGCTTGGCCTCAAACCGTCCCTCCCTCGAAAAAAAGTCGCTGCCAGTGGCCACGGGCAGCACAAGTTGTGAGTATGTTCGGGAGCATCTCTCACTAACGCTTTGCAACCTTGCATCCAGTTCCTTCAGGATCTCTGTGTGTGGTAAGTGTGCCAGTTTCTCAAAGGCTACGGTCCTGAATGTGTCAATCATGTGCAAGAATATGCCATGTTCGATTGTGTGCATACGGTCTGGTTCCAATGCCAGGTGGTAGTCTAGMTGAGGATCATCACCATTGGGGCYCCTRTAGAATCCCCAAASGCCGTTTTGTTGAACATGCTTATGCATGTTCAACTCTGACATTCGTGCTTCAGCCGCACGGCGAATGTCGATGTCATCGACGTTGAACACATCTGCTGCGAGTTGTGTTTCCAGTGTCTGTGATCTCTTGCAGTTCGTGAAATCGGCCACGACATTAAAATCATTTTTTGACACGGTGCACGTTGGACACACACCAAATTTCAGAGTTGCAATCGCACATCTTTCTGGGTAGTCTTGTACATAGTTGAGGAGGAAAGGGTGGACAGTTATGTCCCCGAATCGCTCTGTCGGTATCATTATGCCATCATGAGATGCCTCCTTCGCAGACTGCAACACCACTGCAAGGGCCTTGTGCAAAACGACGCCCTTTCGTTTTCTGAATTTGCTGGACTGCAGTCCCCATCCTTTGTCACGTGAACGATGATGAAGCACAGGAAGATAGGCCAGGAGTGTGGCTTCGGATGCGTGGTCGGCCAGTGACAACATCAGAGGGTATGCTGTCTGTTTTTGACGACCGTCTATATGTGTCTTATTGGAATACAATGAGAGAGGGATAACATAACGTGGATTACCATTCCTATCCACACCTTTGTCCGCTCTAATGATTGTCTAGACGTGATAACTTAGCACCCCGGTACGCGGGCCGGATATATTGAGGTGCTCTGACGGAGGAGACGTTTCCAGAGAAGACACCGTCTCGCATTTCTGTATTGCGATTTGCAAAATCGACAGAAATGTCGTTCGTCAATTGCGGTGCCACAAGATGGCGTGCGCATCTAGTGACCAATCATCACATCGTAGATCAAACTCTTGTCATCCAGCAGCCTCTACTTGACTCCCTGCCCATGTTAAACACTCTTGACTATTACGATATGCGATGTCTCTCGTGTTGAATCTCGAGTGTGTGAGAAGTGACAAGAGAGCATCGATGTCATTCTGCGACATACCGACGCCACCCCTGGCAAAGAAAATCAGTGCCGCCAGCTTGCGAGAGCTGTCGAAATACTCTACAGACGGCGGTTGTTGTTCTTAAAGTGTCCCGCCCTCCGCCTCTACATTGTCGGGGGCCCCGACATCCTCACTCTCATCACTGATGAGATTCACTGCACCTATACTTGATGGTCCGGCCTCACTGACCACACCAATCTCCTGCCCTGGTGTTCTTCCGGCCACTGCGGCCGAGCATGCCCTCGCTCGATGTGAGTTTAAAGTCTGTAAAGACATGAAAGGTCTGCCACAGTCGCACACCCTTGGACCGCTGTCCATTTTGTAATAGCGTTTTCTTGATTCACCTCTTTCAAAACCGTTGGAAATTCTTTCATCTATGACGGATGCCCTTTCGTCGTGAAGCTATCGGCTTACACCCCTCACCCTGGGACACCGCTTTCTGTGCACGCAGTGCATTCCAAAAACAAACAGAGCGGTGTGGACAGTGTTTTGATTAGCATTTTTGTACATTGTTTCTGCTCGTTTCAATAGTAAGTAGCAAAGCGTATTTTGTTGTTTCGTCTCAATGTTGCACATCCTTTTGTGCGAGAGAGAGAAAGAGAGGGAGTACTGAGTGTCGTTTTCGGTATAAATGGTCTGTGCGTGATGACAATTGAGAGAGATTACTAGTCAATCGTGTGACACAATAATTTATATGTCATGACATCAATGTTCGTGTGGTCAAAGGCAACGTTTGACGCATGGTACATGATACATGACAAATCATTCATCATCACGTTTGTGCGGCTGCCACGTGGCCTGGTAGCGATCCACGACGTTTGTGTATGTGTTATGTGTTTTCCATCTGCACAGGAAAATGATTGCAACTGCAGCACCCTAGCCGACCTCCCCGAGCAGTTCCGAAATATTTCACTCCCCAATAAATTAGTATTAAAATGACAAAGAATGCAAGAAAAGCACAACATACACACATTGGTGATCATAGGGGGTATGATGTGTCTCATTTACTCCGAAAGACAATAAATTATGACATACATCGCAAAAATCAAAAAATGATTCAAATCTTGTTAAATCTAGTGTCTCCACGCAGTAGTGAACCGCGTGTACTTGGAGAGGTAAAGAGCAGTCAACATGACACACAACACGCAGGCGGATATACGCCTTCTAATATAGCTAGAACTCAACATACATGAGAGAGAGAGAGAGAGAGAGAGAGAGAGAGAGAGAGAGAGAGAGAGAGAGAGAGAGAGAGAGAGAGAGAGAGAGAGAGAGAGAGAG